TGCCACCCGGCCTGGGAGGTGGGGTGGGAGTGTCCACGCTAGGACCTGAAAGATGGTGAACTATGTCCAGAGGGTGAAGCTAAAGAGAACTCTGGTGGAGGTCCGTAGTGGTCCTGACATGCAAATCAAGCATCCTATCCCATTCTATGGGTGAAAGACTAATCGAACCATCTAGTAGTTGGTTCCCTCTGAAGTTTCCCTCAGGATAGCTGACATTTGGCAATGGGCAGTCTTACCCAGTAAAGCAAATGATTAGAGGTCTTGGGGCCTAAACAATCTCAGCCTATGAAGATGGTGATTACTGTGAGGATCCCTTGGAAAACCAAGCTGGAGACATGTTACTTACAACACCAGTGCAAACAGAGCAGGCAGTGGGGAAGTAAGGGGCTCTCCTGCCTCTCTGGGGTGGAAGCACCCTCTAAACCTCCCACCTCAAGGCCATCACTATGTTGTTTCAAGAAAGAAGCCATGTTTTCCTTGGCTGCTGCACTCATTGCTTGGATGGGAAGTAATCTAAATATGTCACAACAGCCATCTCCACTGCTTTTCCTTCCAAGCCTTCCCCCTGCCATGCTCTGCAACATAGCCTTTGGCAGGACACGGAAAATAAATATATATGTAACACTACCCCCTCACTGCATGACTAGCACAGCCCCATGCATCCCTCCTGCAGGACCATGTGTGCTCTCCCTCCCAGCCACAATTCAGCCATCCCAGGGTGCACTTGAGCCTCTCAGCTCTGCATTTAAGTTGTTGCTTTATTTTTCTCCACTTCTAAGCTTCAGAAATATTTAATCAAGGGAGGATTTACATTTAAACCACTGCACCATGTGAAGTTGCATACTGGGGAGTACTTAACCCTACTACTTGCTACTTGCTGAGTATGTGCTCTGATTACTGCAGTTCCACTGCTGGTCTGTCTGTCTGCTTGACTTTCTTGCTAGAGTCAGCAGAGAAACTTAAGAGGAATAAACTCATAAGAAAAATATCAAGTCTGTGCTCTATTTTTACTCTCTTTAGTGCTTTATAGGTAATAGTTAGATCTAAATTCTTCTTTCCAGAATAAATTACAGCACAGCAGTAAACATCTATTTGGCTTGTAGAGCCTCTTTGTAAAGGATGCTGAACTGACAGTCTAGAAATTCACTGGTGATAAATAAACAGGGTCACAAAATTATCTCCTGACCATATAACACTTTTTAAAAGCAATTTTTTTTTTCAACTGTTCTATGGGACAAAATGTGACATGCAAAACTTTGTGGACATTAGGAACAGTTTTGGTCAGTCAAAACGTTCCCTTTCTATTTTGACCATTTCAAAATTTGTTTAATTTTCTTATATTTTGGAAGAAGAAAAAAATGCCTCCATTAAACGAGAAAAATCTTCCCTAATCAATGAATCAATCAATCAATCAATCAGTCAATCAATCACCTAATGCTTTCTTCCTCTTAAAAACGAGTTAAACTTTTTTTCAGTTTTGAAGCTTCTCCAGATTTCACTGTTTTGGGGATATTACTATTAAAAACTCAATGTGGCCTGCAAAAAGCCTTGGTTTTGACAAACTGACTCTTTTAATCAGGAATTTGCCCCCTGACCATTTTTGTGAGGACTGTCCCTACCAAAGTGTACCTGAGGTCCCTCCACTGTGATTCCACCCCAGGCTAGGGCCCAGCAGATGGCCCCCTTTGACAAGGCTCCATTGAGCAGGTCCCCCCAGAGCCCAACTTGTATCACTCAACAGGAGCCCAACATTTTCAGATGACTATTGATTTTTTTAAAAGAATTACACCATGCTACATTCATCAACAGTGCAAAACACATGTGAGCAAAGAACAAGCAGTGTGCTGTCCTGCCTGCCCGGTCAGCTGGTATTTCATAAACATCCTACTTGAACATCTGTGCTTTTCATTAGAAGAAGGACAATTCTGCCCATATCACACCAAATTCTTCAGATTCTTCTTCCACCAATAAACAAGTTGCATCCCTTGTGCTAGAAAAGCTCTCTTTGCTCTCTGGAGAGAGGCTTTTCTGTTGGAGTAAATCCAAGCTGTAGGGCTCCTTCACTGCATCAGCAGGATCATATCCTATCACCATCACCAGTCCTTCTTAAACTGAGACTTACCAAGTCTTACATTGTCTAAGTATCTACTACTGCCCACAACCACAGGTAGCTTTAATCTCTCTTCACTGAGCAATCAATAAAATAAACATTTTTGGCCTCACGGGTCACAGAGAAATTTCCAGTCCCACAGGAAATAAGAGAAGGAAGCGCTGTAGCTCATTCGGGAGCTGATCTGGCATCAGTGAAGTTCATACAGAGACATCACTGCTATCAATAAGATGTGATCAGGCAATTAACTTGATCTGTCAAGTGCCATATGATTTCTGTATTCACATCTAGAAAATGCTAATATTGTTAGAATGTGATGAACAGCATGTTTCAAGTTATTACTTATTTTTCACCCTCACACCACAGCTATTGCCCAACAGGGTAATATTTGCATAAATATGGGTGAGACAACACATTCTTTGCACAGTTTCATTTTTGACTCAGATCCTGAATGTTTGGGCATGGATTACAGTAAAGCACATGCTTCACAGTCACTCCCATTTTTTTTTCTGAGCCAAAAAAATATGTAAGAAAAATTGGAGGTACTTTCCTATATGTGGCATGTTTTCAATAAATTAGACCTCAACTTCAGCAGGGACAAATTTCATTGGCATTGAATGCTGACGCAGCTTCCTTGACTGGAAGCTATATTCTTATTCTAGCTGAGAACCAGGTCTTAGACACGACCCAGTCAAAAGGCTCTGAGTGAGTTTGATTTCAGTCTCCTGGAGACTTTAACCAAAAATTCTCATTCTGGACATGCTGTTTTCCATCTGTGTCTCTGCCCTTAATTCTCCACTTGCCCTGGTTACCTCTGCACAGGCAATTCCAAAAGGTGCCCAAGAGCAGCCTGCGTCTGCGCAAAATGTCTCTACGTGGCTCAGAAATTAAATCCAGCTCTTAAGCTTTGGCCTTCCAGGAATGCTATCGCTCTGGCCCTCTGTATAGATATGCCATATGGATACAAAAAGTAGCCAGGGATCTGATCCCAGGCAGGAACGTGTCCTGAATATGCTTTAGTCATATTAAAGCCCATTTGTTTATGTAAGTCTGGCTCCTGGGACTACTTTCCTAAACCCTCAGTAGACCTTGCCTGAATATTTAAATACCCCAAACTCCCAACTTGATTTCCAGACATTTTCCAGAACTTTGTCCTGTCTGTCTCCCCAGAGGTGCCGAGGGAAGAAACTGGTCAGATGGCAGCAAAGCTGAGATGGAGGAGACAATAATTAGCTGAAGTGGCCTCAGGAACCCAGCTCTTCCCTCCAGCCCCTCTGCACCCAAGATGATACCCAGGTGGTGCGTATGAGTATTTGCACATAATTTCCCAAAGCCTGGGACCAGCAGCATAGGTAAACACACTTGCAAACAGCTCCCATGACCCTTGAGATATTTCATGCTGCCCAATTTCACAATCTTAGTTTTCAGCATCTCTTTTGTCTTTTCCTTTCTTTTTGTCCTCATTTCTAGTCCACCTGACTTCCTCGCTGAGCTTCATTCAGCTCTTTCAGGAAACACGCTTTCTTCTCTCTACCAAACTAAAGAATACTCTAGCAATTTATTTTTTTTTAAGGTGCAATATGTCGTGCTGTCCTGGACCAATTCCCCACAATAACCAATACAGTCATGGGAAGTCTGCATGCAAGAGGCACGGAGCTCTTGTTGCCCAGTGGAGTTCACTGGTACAGAAGAAGGGGAATGGGAAGCAGCAGTGGTTGGCACAAGGCAGGTCAAAATTGCAGCCCTGGATGTCTGAATCTTATGGCTCCTTTTTACACATTTTTCACATCCTTGAGGCTAAACACATCTCAACTGTTCAGTGCACATTTACAGTGCTCCTCTTATCACCACAGCACAGAGATGCAGAGATATAGATAGATATCTCCAATGATTAAAGGAGAATCTGCTGTGGAGCATGTCCTACATTAAAAAAAATAAAAATTCCCTCATGACAATACTAGAAAGGTAAAGTTAAAAAATTCCTAGTTCAGTTACCAACATACAGATGCTAGAATTATTCAGCTGTTTGCAAGGCTACTTCTATACAACTTGTAAAGCAGAGTGGTATCTTATGACTGGCATCAGATGGGAAGCCTTGAGTGTGTGCCTCTATGAAAAGTGCTGAAAAGACAGTTCTGAACAATTAAAGGCTCTCATCCACAGTAGATGACCAGCACTGGCAGCTCTTCTAGGCCACACTGTTTACTCAAGTGAGTCAATTCTTGAGGACCAAACTCAGTCACCCCTCTGCAGTCAGTCAAAGAACCATCAGTTTCTGCCACTTTAGTAATATTTCTGGGATGTTTTTGCAACACAATCAGAATTGAGCAAACCTTTTGCAATGTATTTACCATTAAGTCTTTCTGACACAGTAACTAACCATTCTTGGGACCTTTTTATGGCAAACAGCACACACGGAAGCTGTCATTGAATGCTCTTTGCAGATGGCTGCATGACTGAGAAAGAGAAAAGACAATTTTAAGCTACCTTCCTTTCAAGGCCTTCTTATTACCTGAGTCTTAAATAGCTGTATTACTTAAAAGCTCATCACCATAGGTCTGTAGAGTCTCCTTTCAACCATCCTATGAGACAGAGCCTACTATTATGTCCTCTTAAGGATGACAAACTATGGCACAGAGAGACTACTACACAGGTCCAAGGTCACACAGCAAATGTACAGCACAGGGAAACACCACCTAAGCCTGTGGAGCCCTCAGCTAACATATTTTAGCCTTCCCATCACCCTTCCTCTCAAATGAAAGATGACCTAGGTGAGGAGACCCAACTGTAACTCCCGTCCCACCTCCGCCACTCCCGTAACGCTCCGCCGCTTCTCTGCCTCTATCTCTCTCTCCTTGCGTACAGAGAAGAGCGGAGAGCCGCTGCTCACCTGGTGGGTGCATGCTTCTGCTCCTCCTCTTCATCTGTGTCGCTGCTGATGGTGATGACACTCACTGCGGGGCTGGGGGTGTCGGGGATGACAATCGTCTGCCGCTGCCGCTCCCGCGTGGTGCTGGCGGCCACGTCGCCCCAGCCGCAGGTGAGGGAGGTGCTGCAGGCAGGGCTGTTGTGCACCAGGGCACAGCGGGGCGGGGTGTTCTCCTTCACGCGTTTCGACCGCTGAGGTGAGCTGATGGACTGAGAGGATGAGACTTCATAGGTGGATGCATTTCTGAAAACGAGAAAGGTTGTTAGCTGGCTGAGACCGGGTTTGCTTAAGTCGCCTGTCACCGTGGCTTTTTGATTTCCTGGGCTCTGGAGGTACAGAGCAGAGGGAAACTGCGGAATCGGCACAGTCACCTCTTCAAAGGACAGAGTGCCTCACGTGACTTATTCATGTACCTGGCTGAAAAGCAGTTTCTTTCGTAAAAAAAAAAGAGAAAAAATCCATTTTGTTTTCTCTAGAAATTTCGAAATGAGAAATGCTGCCTCCCAGGAGTTGGCACTGTGAGGCAGAGGGTAGTCACCCAGCCCAGACAGACAAAACACAGGTGGGCACAGTATGGCTGTCACCAGAGGAAGAAGAACCCAAATGATAATCCCTTTCTCCTGTATCCTGCACAGAGGCATCATGACCAGGTATTTTTTTGGCCAGAAAAAGCTAAAGGTAAAATTAGAATTTGTTGTAGATAACAACAATAATTTATCAGAAACACTGCTCTTAGCTGAAAATATAATTTTCAGTTTAAGAATCTTTTCAGTTAATATTTTCTGCCCAATGCTTTATTCTCTAGGATAGTGGAGTCCCACGGATGAGAGCACACAGATGGGAGGAGATATAATCAGTTTCATTTCATTCCCACGTGAGGCAGCAGATACAGCATATATAAATTAGGAAGAAAATAATCTTTTTGTTATGCAGTAGAAAAACATTCCCAAGTCCTGTTTTTTTATTCTTTTTCCCAGTCTTCATGCTTCAGTTTCCCTGTCTGAGAGTTGGAAAGGGCCTAGGGCTCACTTGGATCAGGAATCTGAACACAGAACCTGTCCACCGAACAGTGCAACACAGGTCTGCAGGTTGGAATATTTACCAAAGCACATTGATTAAAGCCCATTTCATTCATTTCCCTACATTTTCCTTCTTCCTTGCATTTCTTGTACTTCTTCTGCCTATTGCAGAACATTTGCAAATTCAAAAGGGAAAAAATAGTTCTGGCTTTGTTCTACAGTGGGGCTTGGGCTGCATGCTCAGCTTGGCCCAAGAGCTAACAAAAGGAATAGGTGGCATCCATCAAAAGGAAGTCATTCTGGACGTATCGCACTATACCAACTTACAGAGGGTCCTTTGCATAACAAATGGCTGCACAGTAGCATTTGCAGTGCTTTTTGAATACCAATGAGCAGCGTGGAGTACCCTCCTCTCCAAAGGAGCATGTTCCTCTTTTGGTTACAAAAGCGTGACAATTAATGGAGCCGTAGAAACCCATTGCTCTGCAAGTGTCCAGTTCTGCCTGGACACTGTCACTCTGGCCCTGGAGAGGGAAGGGAGAAGGGAGGCCCTGCACAGGCACACTGGTTGCAACAGGTACTCTCTTTTGCTGGCTTGCTGGGGACGTAGCTGCCTCTGCTCCACATTACAAATGGACTAAGACAGCTGGAGCACACCCAAAGTAAATGCAGCATTAGAGAGCGCATAAACGGGAAGGATTTAAATAGTCGCCTCTGAACTAGAGTCAAATTGGTTGTGAACTCAGAGCTCGTCTGGCCCCAGTCCAGTCACCCAGGAAAACCACAAGCTCCTCTGTTTTTGCTGCTGCACAACTGGTGACCCATTTTTGGTTCTCTCCCCTGCACTGGTTTGTTTTGGTATTTTAAAGAAATGTGCTCGTTTCACAGCCCAGAGGACCTTCCCCAGAAAAGCTGCACATATGTCTTAAAATAGCTGTGTCCTCTAGGCAAGATCACAAGGCTGTAACAGGCACCACAATCATCCTACCATTAGAGTTGTGCCACATTACATAGTATGAACCAAAACCCAGCCTCCTCCTTGCAGAGTCAAACGGTCCTGCTGAGAGTTGATAGATTTAGGTGTCTAAAGACTGTCCTTGAATGAGATTTCTGTATAAAATGCTTCTTATTTTATGCTGCTACGATTATAAAAAGGCCAGTCTGGCTACCTGTTGCTGGTGTGTACTGTTGGAAGATACACGCCAACCACCTACATTAGGAGCTAGAGAGCTTGGCATTAGAGTTCAGAAGACAGGTCATCATGCCACTGGTTTTGAAAAGGCAGATCCTGTGTACACACATCGGCCACGTGTTCCTGAAGACGTGGTCCCCTGGAGGTGTACCAAGCTCCCTGTGGAAATATAGACACTGCACCTCGGGAGTCCTTTGAGATGATGTGGGAAGAGAAGGTCTGGCAAAGGGGCACTGCACCACACTGACCTGAGAATATGGTTACATTTTTAATTACAGTGACTACAAGGCCTCAGGTAATCACAGAGGCTTATCAAGGGGTATGAACAGGACCTGAGTCTCCCATATTGCCCCCCTCCAGCCACTAACTCCAGCAGAAAATGAAGCTCACTGGGTATAAAATACAGCTGACTACCTCTTCCACCCCACTCTCCTAACCAGGCTGCAGGAGAGCCAAGGCAGTGAACAGTCCAGTCACAAAAAGAGTGATCTAATCGCTAGAAGGTCATGGAAGAAACTTTATTACCATCTTCATCAGCACACTCTTGTCGCAGGGCTGCCTTCAGAACAACAGGAGGCAAGGACTCCTGTCTCCCCAACGCCATGACCAAGGCCAGTGCTGGGAGCCGTGCACACTCACCGGGGCACTGAGGGGTGCTGCTTGCTCTTCCTGGTGGCAGTGGCAGCGGCGGGCGGCTGGCGCATGACGTGAGCAACGCCCACGTTGACGGGCTGGGCGGCGGGCAGAGCCACGTGGCTGGCCAGCAGCGCCGGCTGCTGCATGATGGGGTTGTAGTGGCTGCCGTGGGCATGGGTGTTTCTGCAAAGTGGGGAGACAGGCACGAGTTTAGAATGCAACCGGTGGCTTCCAGTGGGCTTGTTTGCAGGCTCCCGCTGCCTTCGCTGAGGCACCCCCCTCCAGGGCCCCCCCGGGCTCCCAGTAACCCCAGGAAGGAGTGTTTTCCCCAGGGAATAGAGTGAAGGGAGCAGTGTGAGCACAGCACTCTACTTCAAGGACAGGGAACAGAGAAGCTGCCTGTAGCAATCAGCCAGCAGGGTGGCAGGCAGCAGCCTCTGCCCTTCTCTCCCCAGCTCTGCAGCCTTGCAGGACCCCATTCCTCCCACCCCGACTCTTCTAACACCTCCTCCAGCCCTGATTGGTACTCCAGGGAACCTCCTAGTGCCTCCAGTTTACCTCCAGTCTGCCAGTGGTTGAGTGCCTGCCATGGATTCTGGGATGACTGTTGCGTGCTGGACAGAAGTGTGGGTGGCCACTCCAGTCAGCTGCTGCCAAGCAGGAGGGAGCAGGATCTGCTGCGTGCCACTGGGCCATGCTTGCTGTTGGAGAGGGAAAACAATTTGTTAACAAGAGGCATCATACATACAGTGAGTGTGATGGTGGTCCATGCTCTATATATATGGTCCTAATAATGATCGTGGTGGCCATCCTACTGACCTCTTACCACTTTTCTGTCCTAGATGACACACTTTTAGGAAACTAAAGGAAAAGCAGTAAAAGTTATCAGTAGAGAGCACAAAGAAGAGGAAAAAAAATCTCTGCCATCCCAAGTAGCAGCTGTGTTTCAGGTTAAGCTGGAAATGGAAAGGATTGAAACTGGTCAGCATTTCAACCCACACATCAAACACTTTTTAATTTTGACTCTCCAGATCAGCTGAGGTCCCATTGTTATTTACCACTTCCTATAGCAAACTTTCCTTCTCACTCCAACAGGACCTAAAGGACTTCAGGAACTTAAAGAACAAAGTTTTCAAGGATCAGGAAAGAGAACGGGGGCTGCAAGGCTTTTGTGAGGAGGAAAAAAAGAGGAATTTGGGATAGCAAAAGGGAGTGAGTATTGGTCACTGAGTGCTGTCCTTGGGGGGGGAACATCTTGCAGCATGGGCCGAGGAGCCCAGTCACCTGCTTCCAGCTCACCAGGAGCCCCCTGGCCAAAGCAGAGCAGAGCTGTGGAGGCATGTTTCGTGCCTGTCCTCTCTGTGGGCTCTCTGGCTTTTTCTGAGTGGGTGCCTCCTTGCAGGGGTGGAAATCTCTGCCCTGTGAGTTGAGCCATGACTCTGCTATGCAACTATCCCTCCAGCTGCACTGCTACAAGCATGACTCAGGTCGTCTTGCTCCGGTGACTCCAAATACGAGACAGATGATTCATTTTTCAACTGGGGAAACTTTCTTTCCTACGTGCTGCCTGAGAGGAGTGGTTCCAGCAGCTTCTCATTGCCTGGGCTGGGGAACATGGGGGTACTGGCTACATTCCTCCTTAGTTCCAAACAGCACCAGTGCATTGGACCCATGTTACGTTATCTCACAGATCTAAGGAGGCTAAATTTTAAAGAGAGGAGACTTCTTTCAGGCACACATTTGTCCCAGTCTCCATCTGCACAAGAATCCTGTTACCTATCCCCATAATCACCTCCTATCACCCAGTAAACAGCCCCCACCAAAACAAACAAACAAGCAAACAAAACCCTCTTCCTGGTTCTGCTCTGAAGTTTGACTGGCTTGTAATTTTCTGCGTTGCTGAGTTAGATGAGAAGGTTATGGTGAGGCCTCTCAGTAACATCTGTAAAGGATAGTCACAGGGCTCCTGAGAGCTCTTCATCTCAGGAGCCTCTGCCACCGACTGGTGCTGCTTGGAGCAGGCAGGAGAAGGAGGCAAAGACCCAAAAAGATCAGGGAAGGAAAAAAAACCCTTTTTCTCCTCTCCTTTTTTCCCCAGCTCTTTAAAAGAGACTAAACTACTGTTACAGGCAGTCTCTGGGGACTACCTGGATTCACTTGCAGAAAAAACTGCTTCCTCCCTTTTCAGGAAGAGAACTGAACAGATCTAAGCTCCTTTCCTCGCTGCAGTGCATAAATTTAGCTGCAACGTCAGGGTCCAGGCACAAATTCCTCACTTATTAGGTAAGGACCACTGAATCATTTAATCTGCAGATAAGACTTGTCTAGGCTGATCCACTAGCACACTGAGCTTACACACGGGAGGCTTGTGCCGGCAGCTGCAGCCGGTTCCCAGAGATTGCGTTACTGCCGCAGCGCAGCACCACGCTGGCCCCGTGCTCGGGGTCTGGTGGGCTGCCCAGTGCAACGGAGCTCCTGCTTGGGATGTAGAGCAAGAACAACTAAGGGAGTAAGCGTGCTTGTTCTGAAAGCTGGTGGCAGGGCCTCTGTGGGAAGAAGTGTTGTTGGGAAGGAGTTAAAAGGAGAGAAAATCAAGAATTCAGAGCATTATTCAAGGACAGGGTTCCACATTATGGAAGCCTGCCAGAAAACTCTACAGCTTTGTCTCTTTTGAGATCTGAAGCTGCAGAGAGTTATTAGTATAGACTGGATCAGCCTCCTTTCACATACAGTCTGTGGACACATTTGCTTAGGAGTGTGAAAATAGATCCAGAGAAGTTACAAGTAAGTTACTTTTGCCACTGGCTCTGCATCTTGCAAACTGTTTGCTCTGCCTAGTTCCATGCCACCGGCTGCAGACACAGGTCTGCCACAGATGATGCTTAAAATTTGTCAGTGTCTCTGCTTTGGGTCCCTCCAGCTTCTGGAGCTCCTTCCCCTGTCCCGCCTCTGGGACCGCTGGTCTACTACAAAATGCTCAGGAGAGCTGGACGCCAGCTTCTCTGCAATTCAGTAAGGCTTTGCCAGCCACAGCTATCCTGATGTGGGCAAGCACAGCAACCTGCACCACGTGCTATGCAGGGAAGAAAGCCCAGTGGCACCACACAGTGCTGGCAGCACAAGGAGCAGCATCACGCCTGATCAGGGGGACAAATAAGGTGGGTGGAATGACAGAAGTAGGCTCCAGAGGTGCTAAGCTGTCTGCTGGGGACAGTCCCTCCAGTAGTTGGAGCAACTGCATGGTCTGGTCTGAAGAGCATTAGATAAGCAGCTGTGCATGAGAGGAACAGCTCTCTGCTGAAAGAGAGACATGCAGCCGCTCAGATCAGATGTGACTACAATGCATTACAAAGAAGCTGTGTTTTTCCATTCAGGAAACTGGAATTGGGTACAGATTTGTTTATCAGACCAGCTGCTCAGCCCAAACTGAGCGAGGCCCATGGACACCAGATGCCACTGGCATCAATCAGAGTGCCCTGCCATCAGTGCAGCAGCCAGCATTCCGCAGGCAGATATAGCAACAGGCAGACTGCCTCTCTCTCTTTTATTAAATCAAAAATTAAAAATCTATGCAAGCAAGGAGTGTATGTCAGAAACAGTTTAAATTCCCTCGTGGAAGTGACAGTGAAAAAAATGTCAGTAGAAAGTATGAGAGAGGCAGCCTATGAAATAGGAGTTCATGTAGCAGGGGCAGCACAGAAACTGGTAGCAAAGCTCCTCCTGAACGCTCCCTCCCAGACTGTGGCCCCAGTGACCCCAGCGAGGCCACCTTAAGAAGAAAAGAGCTGGAGATCCTGAGATCTTCAGGATGCTTCAGATCCATCCCCCATACCACATCAAGCCCAGGTAACAGCCCACCTCAGGAGGCCTGGCAGGATGGCAGGGCACGCTAAGCTCTGTCACCTCCTTCAGCCACTGCCTTGGCTGACTTCTTGCACAAGCAATAGGTGCCCACAACTGTGCCTGCATGGACTCCTTCTTGCTTTGCCACTGGTTTTGTTTCCCCTGCCTCTCAGGTTCTCCTTTCCTACCAAACAGGAGAGGTGGCCCATGTAAGTTGTTAAAACAGGCTGAAATAGAGATAGGTTCCATATTTCAGACAGCTCTCTAAAAAGACTCTGCTATTGGCCAGGGCACTTTAGCTAATAGAAATCACACAGGCTACAATTGTGTGTTGATTTATTTTCACCAGGTAAGTAAGACTGGCAGGTGGCAGAGAAAACAAATTGCACCAGCAGTTATACCCCAGGAATGCACAGGCATAAAAACCCAAGTCTGTTGGTACCTGACTGCATATGACCATGCTGGCATTAACAAAGGCATGGCAGATCAACCAATCCTGAGTCAGAAGCATAAATTTTTTACTTGCAGGTCACCTTTTCCAGGCTGTACAGCATAATACTAAGCATACTGGGTTTTTTTCCCCTCTGCCAGAAACATGTCTGATACCAGCAGAGGTACCATGGCACCATCTGAAAACCAGTATGGGCAGATTCACTGAAGCCATCACAAGGAGGAATGAACAGCTCTTCTGGGAGCTGGGATTCCCCTTGAGGATATGCATGTGATCAGTGGTACCCATTCCTGTTTGGGTTTTTTCCTGGGAGGAAACATGCTTTTTACCCATGAGCACATTTCAGACAATTGTGCCAACAAGAGCCACTGACAAGGAGAGCTCCTTGGCTGTGGGGCCATTGCCTCTGCCCACTACATTTACCCCATAACTTAAAAACAGAGGGGCAGCTCACAAAACATAAGAGTGCAAACCTAAAGCATGAAAGATATTTATCAGCAGCATGCAATTCACCAGCACAACTCCTGGCCAGAAACTACCACTGAAACAGTGAGTTCAGAAGGATGTAAGAAGGTTATTACTGGTTCCTCCTCAGCAGAGGCCTGTCACAGCTTTGCCTGAGGCTCCCTACGTAGTCTAGTGGAGAAGCAGAAGGAAAGAAGACTTGCAAAGACTTTTGCAACTCTGACGTAGCCTTTGAGCTGAGCAGTGAAGTGGGGGAGGTTTGGATGTTTCAGGGAAAGCTGGAGACCCTTACGTGACTGCCCAAGTCTCCAAACTGCACCACGGAAGGCCCTCAGTCAGAGAAAGCTACTCTCCTCAGCCTCCAAGAGCTAAACAACACAAAAAATACTGGCCATGCTCAGTGTCTTCAGAGCTCCTTACCTGTGCGAGGAGTCCTGGCTGGATCTGAAGAGGCTGGGCCCCGGGAGCCTGAGTGACAATGGGAACAGCGTTCTCCATCCGAACTGAATACCCAGCATGCTTCGAAGGGGAGGCTTGTAACCCTGTTCCACCAGCACAGAAGGCACAGCATTAGCCATAAACAGCAGTGCTAGGAATGGGGGTTTGTTTTTTTGGAGGTGCAAAAAGGCACCCTCTAATGTTTGCTTAAAATTGCAGTGTTCAGTCCCTCTGAAAAATCAGGCTCTCAGAGTCCAACATATTCTACCCCAGCCCAGAGATGTCCATCAGATGTTCATAAATATGATACATGCATAAGGGTGCAGAAAAGACAGTTTAAGGGGCTTTAAGGATTAACTGAGTTCCTATTTTTAAGTTACCTTGAATGCGTGGGAAATACAACATATACAGGGAGAAAAGGAAGAGAGAAGAGGGAATGGCTTCTCTTCACCCATATTCTCTGTTTTGACAAAAGAAAATGGTCCTGGTCCTTGCCAGGCAAAACCCACTGCTATGTGAGAATGCTCTCTTTAGACCAAAGTGAGACAGTGGCACAGGAATCCAGAAGTCTGTACTCCCTCAGCATTGATAGGGATTGGTGATTTTCTCTTGCACAGCTTCTCAGGACTCATATTTAAAAGGCTCTGATTTGACAGTGTTATCTAGCAAGCCCCAAACCCAATCACTGCTGAGTCAGCCACGCATTAGCCTAGCTGAGCTGGAGGAAGCTTTGCTCTCCACCACCTTAGTGCGTGGCACAGCCTGTGCTACCTCCTCTGCTTTAAAGCTTTCTCAAGACAGCAAGCAGAAGATGTTAGCATATATTTCTGAAGTCAAACCCTTGAGATGCATTTTAACCATGTACAAGAGGTCTACCTAAACTCCTGTAGTTCAAAAGAGCTTTGATAATCTTGCAGAACATTTAACAAGTACCTAGAGACTGCTGCATGGACAGGCTTGCAGAAATGAAGAGCAAAAGTTGCACCAGCTGAACCAAGGTCTATTTAGGCCACTTCCTACAGATACCTGGCTAGTTTTTCCAAATTGCTACAGCATGTAAAGTAGGGAGAAGGATCACCCAAGTTGTCTGACAACAGTACCTGCCACTGGTATATACAGGCAGAGCTGTTCGCAGCAGGGCTGGAGGTGAAGGAATTACATCGATAAAATCAGGGTCACAAGCACCTGTTATGGGGGTAAACCCTCATCTCCACCAGCACCACACTTCCTGCTGCATTAACCTCTTGAGTACCCCTTTTAACAACTGAATCACTAAGAAGAGATGAAACCATTATATACGTACTGATTTACTGTTGTTGTAGGGGCAAGTTTTCAAGTTTACCAAAGTGAGGCAGAAGAGCCTCAACCTCTATTCAGGGCAAAGGACGACAAGTATCACATATTCTTCCCCAGCTCCTTCTCAGTGCCTGATCCATTGTTTTAAACCAGCCATCTCCAACTCATGATGATGGAGGTGCCTGCAAGATCTACTGCTACAAACATTTCCATCTGCAACCACATCATCGCTCTGATTTACTAGGCCAGCAATTTTCCCAACCATCTGATATGCGCTAAGGAAGCTTGTTTCTAACAAGACCTAGCTGGAATAGCAGTGCGGACGGAGCAGTGACTGGTCAAGATCTGGCAAGGCTGTTACTTACCTTGGAAGCCTGGTGGGCAGACGATGAGAGCTTGCTGGAAGGGGTCAGGCCGGGCACAGATCTGCGCTGTTCCTGTCTGCAGAGGCATGCTCCGCTGGGCCACCGCAGCCATGGACGCTGCTGAGGGCTGGTAGAGTGCAGATTGGTAATTTAGTATGGAGACCTCGGGGTTGGCTAAGGAAATAGTGGCACTGGAGGAGGTGGGAGCCAGGTTGGTGGTCTAAAGGAATGACGGGAATTAAACAAACAAAAACAAACAAACAAACAAAAAAATGAGGGAGATGGGTACGCTGGAAGAAACAAAATCCAAAAATAAAATAAAAAAGTAAAAGTGCAAGACAGAGGAAAAGAAATTAAATAGAAAGAAATGGCAAACTGAAAGCAAACATGGGATAGGGCAGGACACTGAGGAGCACAGAGGCAAGGGCAGCAATGAGGAGAAGAGCATGATCTGCTTGAGTAACCACAGCTGGTCCATGCCATGGGATCTCTGGCTATGCAGGACTGATGTGCACTGCTTGGAGATGTAGCATGTTCTCCAAAGCAGAACTGTAGCCCCATTTATTGCTCAACTGGCTCTGATTTTCACCATGATGAAGATGGGTTCAGAAAATGCTGCTATCCCAGAATCATATTATCTCATCATGCTCACAGCTTTACAAGAAGCTCACATTCTCAAGAAACTCAGCACCTCCATGCCCTGCAAAGACTTGTCCTAAGAGAGGAGACTCATTCCAGCCTTTTATCTACCTTGTATCTAAGATGGTATGTGCCCCTTGAATTATATTTTGAATCTGAAGAAATCAGAAAGAACATATAACAGTAGGTAATAATGATACTTTCAAAGTCCAAACTTGGCTGAACTTGACTTCAAAATCTTTCAGAGAGGAAACTCCAGCAGAGAATGTTGCAAAGCCACAAATTCAGCCTAGTGTTCTGAAAAACATCTAGAAATCTGAGGGTGACTTTTGTTTTATCTGGAATGAGTCTGCAATGGTTGCAGGCAAACTACCCCCAAACAGCTCTGCAACAATGCCCTTAGCCTTCATGTTTAGGCAAGCAGGCTCTACCAGACCAGAGCCTACCTTTCCTCTCCATTCAAAGACACTAGCATCCCTGCTGGAGATAGGTGAGGCAACACTTTCTCATGGTGAACATATGAAGCCAGGATGAGGCTTTGATGGAAGCTGCAGGAGGCAGCAGGCTGAGCATTTCATGCTGCCCTTGTTGCCACTGGGCCCAGGAAGGGTACCCATGCTGCACGACCACTGCCATGGCCACAGCCACGAGGGATGCAACAGCGGAACATTTCTTCCTGCTCCTCCTCCTTCCTTCTCTCTGCAGTGGCAGAGAAGTGCAACCTGTTCCCCTGTGCAACACACCAAGGAGCAACCACAACAGCCCCCGCACTCCTAATCTCAGGAGTCGATACTGGAAGGAGGCAATCCCCAGATATTTTGCAGAGACAGGGAGCACCAAAGAGCCAAGATGAGTGGTATGTTAAAGTGAACAATCCAAGGTTTAGACCTCGCTCTAATTAAAACACCTTTCCTGGAACTGCTTCTACCACTTCTAGGAACACTGGAGATACCAGTTCTGCTCACAACACACACTACTTATGAGAATTCAGAGATTACCACTGACCTTCCCACCCAGCAACAGATCTTAACATCAAGTGATTTGTGAGGAAACGAAACCAAATCTGCATTTCCTACTAGCAATTTCTAGGTACAATTGTGGTGTCTCTGCCTTGCAGCTGGGGCCCAGAGGAGCACGTAGCATGCATTCCTTTAGTCAGCATCTCAGGAACAGCCAAGAAAGAACCAGTGTTTTAAATGAATATCCTATCACATCAAGTCATGACCTATCGTTGTGTGCTTCTGCTTAATTAATTGTTCCAAAAGACCTTCTTTGATCATATATATCGAGAACTGAGTCATGAAGTCTGTTTTTTTGAGTGACACTGCAATGCCCTGTACATCTACAAATACTCCTGTAGCTCCCTTGCTTTTCAAGCACCATTTCTGCAACATTACCTACAATCTCTAGAGTGGACCTTGAGGAGCCTGTTCCCAAAGGCTTAAAAGACAGTAGCTATTTCTTCAGTTTTAGTCTCCCAGAGTCCTGTCCCCAGAGAGTTTCCTTTCACAGTTGTAATACAGTACTGAAGTAAACAACTTAGCCTGCTAGTCACATAAAATTTGTTAACACAGCACCCCCAAACACTGGGGCATGTAAAACTAAAGAGACCAAAGCATGATTACAAAGCCAGAGCCCCACAACATAGAGTGCAATGTGTTCAGAGTGAGGGTATGTGCACAGAGTCCCCATATCAACTGTGGCACTTGAAGTAAAGTCAATGAGAGAGAAGAATAAACATTACCACTAAACTCTTCTTCCTGTTGATCGGTTATAGTGCTGTGTCTGTTACAGATAGGTTTAAAATTCTTTGTACTTCAATGTCAACATCAAGAAGTTCTGTAAGATCACAAATACTTCTGCCTGACCCACAGAGTGCAATCCTGCTTGCTGCATCAGGGGACTAATGAGCTTTTCCCCATAGCAACTTCCCAAGTAAGTAGGATTTATCACCCCCAACAGCAACATAAACAATGAGGGCAACATTTCACCATCACACGTAATGTCACAAGATTACAGCTTGCCTGAAGAAAAGAGAATGAGGAAGAACAGAGGAAGGAGAATAAAAAAAGTACTATCTCTTTTCAGGCATGTTAAATGGGATGCTATTTTGCTTTTCATCTTCGAGACCCTACTGACATTTCAAGCACTGGCTTCTTCTGATTGATGCTCTTACCTGGTTGTGGACTGTGTTCAGCTGGTTGTTAAAAGTCATGGTCAAGTTGGTTGATGTGCTTGGGGCTACATGGGTGATGAATGGTGTCTTGCTCTGGTTCACTGTGTCATACATATTCACCCGCCGCTTGCAGATATCCATGTTCTGGAAGCAGGACTTGACACTGCGTAAGGAAAGGGGGCACAAGTAAGAGACAGAAAATCAACTAACTGACCCACAAAGGCAACAAACAGTTCATCAAACTGGCCCTGCATTAGGTCTCAACAGTAGACTTGGCACTTTCTAGGCTCTTAAAGCCCTTTTTTGTTTTATGCAGCTCTCTCGTAACCAGTGAGAGTCAGATTAACCCTGTACAGAAGAAGGCCAAATGGGTGACAAGATGAGAATGGCTGCTCTGGAACTCCTGGGTGTCCCCATGTGTCTGAGCACTGCAATGCGAGTCACAGGCAGCAAGCCAATCTGTTGGTCTTCAGGTGGCTATTTTAAGAGTGAAAGAGACTGAGAACAAGATAGGACATTTTTTTCTGATGATTAAGCTGGAAAGGAAAAAAACAAGTAACTCATGCTTTCTCCCTCACCAAAAGCCTAAAGGTAGTTTCACAAGTCTTTCACAAGGAAGAATTTTACTATTCCTGATCACTCACTGAGACCCTTAAAAAATCTGACTTGTTCCTTTTGAAATGTAGTTTCCAGAGAGCCAACGTCAGCCAAGTGCTTAAAACGTTGTCCCTGTCTGGCTAAACACTTCTGCAGGTGCTTATCTTAAAGCACATAAGCTGTCCTCTTGCAGGCAATGGGACGATTCATATCACAGAAGGTTATGCCAAATCCGAGTCATCAGTGTCCCAAGAGAATCAGGTTCTGAGTTTTTCTCTGGGGGGGAAGATGACAGCTTCTTCCTCTACACAGACTTTCCTTTAAATGTTACGGATATTGCAATGGAAATTTTGAGAAGTATCATATTTTGTATTCCCAGTAAAGGAGATTAAATACTTCATCATTTCTAGAGCACTCTAGGTGTCTCTTACATGAAACTGTCAGTATTTCATTTATATAATTGGGACACCAAAGCATACAGAGGTTTAAGAGATAACAACATAGTGATCTTGTGGAAAAGTGTATTTTTAATACATTTTCTCCAAGGTCTAAAAACCAACACAGGTTTTCCGTAATTCTTCCACAATAATTATTTTTACAAATGTAACCTCAGAGTCTGAAACACAACAGAAAAAAAGTATAAAGGCATTTATGTTATTTCTATGGTTTCCATCTGGAAAAATTGAAAATACAAGCAATAAAAATCAGTTGCAGCTGTAAAATAACCAGCTGTATGCATAATTTATTTTGTAATGATCTAAGTTGTTAGAGGTAGGGGAGGTAAACACATCCTCATTTAACTTTTAAGAGATAAAATGTCCCCTCAAAGGGAACCAGTTCATATAATCCCTAGGGTTGGTCAGGAAGAGGACCTAGATCTTTTTATCCCTGTCTTTCCTCTTACTCACATGATCATCTTTCTTCCGCTACTGGTAATATCTTGATAACTGGATCTTTGCCATAAACACCTGCAGACAAGACAGGCTCAGGACACTGTGCATAGCTGCACATTATGTGCATTCACTTAAAGAACTATGAAACAACTGTAAGTTGCAGAACAAAAAAAATCAAACACTTAACAGATAAAAGTAGACCATTGGATTGCATTTTTCCAGTCAAGAATGAATGTAATTCTCCCTCCAGAAAGCACTAGAAATAAGATATATTTTATACATGATAAACTCTGTGTGTCACCAAGCTGTTTTATATATAATCTCCGCTAATGTCATACTGTGTTCTCTGTCTTTACTTTAAAAAAAAAAAAAAGGGAAAATACAGGAACAGAGCAAACTAGACAGAAAGACTGAGGAGTACTCAACAATTTAAGAGCCAGTCAGTTAATTACATGAAACAGCAGCTGAACTCACTTTGCTGTTTGCTTTTAAGTATGCAGAATTGCCCCTCTTGGTCTGCTCAAACTTTCAGCCTCTCTGAAGTGACACAGCAGAGATTCCTTCCAGAAGATATATCTTCCATAAATTCTACTTTCTCTGCTGCCTGATTTACTTTCAAGAGAGATTACAACTCCCTGCATCTCTTGAGGCTTTGAAGTTTCTATTCTTAAAACCAGGGGCAATCACAGACAGAATTTCCATTGACTTGCCACACTGCTTATAGCTTATTGCTCCTTTTACCAGTCACTGCTTCCAGCACAGAAGGGCTGTGCGGGGTTACGCACCTGGCTGGCACAGCCTTTAGTATTCAGAGACCCGATGTTGAATTTTTTATTCAGGTAAAATTCTCACTGCTATTGGCCCCAATGATATTTTCAACATTTCTGGGCCTTTGCTTGAGCAGCCACAAGTAAGCACTTCAGAAACGAAGACATGAGTATGGTCTGCTGCGTTAGTGGAAAGACTTCCGATGACAACGCGTTACACCACAAATCTCTCCTATCTTACACAATCAGTTGTTGCACAGCAAGAAGGACTGTTGCAAATGGTGCAGATACTGTTAGAAAATACTGTCATTTTTAAATTTATTAACGTTTCTGTATAAAAATTACTTTCTCTCTATCTAGCCCAACAATCTCCCATCCTGTTTTCATTACATTTATCACTTACTATCTACTTACAGATAACAACGCTCAAAGATGTCTGTGCAGGTTAAGTCTGGGTCTACACAGATCGTGCACCCACTACCTTCTGGTAAGCAGCTGCTCTTATCTTGTGATAAATGTAATAAAATGGCAGCTACAGCTCCTTCACAGAGAGAAAACTACCTTAAATGACCTTGAAATACTGCAGGTCACAGCACACATAGGGGCAGGAGAGGTGACACACAGTAACCTGTTGCTTAGCAGCGCCCACACAAACATACTCCATGGCTTTTTAAGCAACCCCCTTTATTTCATACCTGAGCTCCTCACAGCCTTTAAACACCCATGCACATGGCACCCAATGAAGCGCAGTGCTGTGCCAGTAACTCTGTTTTCCTCATGAGGTGAAGGGACATCCTGCAAAAGCACCTTCAACTGCAAAGTGCTGCAGAGAAGGATGTTCAAAGCTAGGTGTCCTGAAGATTTTGGAATACTCTCCCTACTTGTCTGCTCTCACTTGCACCTGAGAAACCTATGTGAACTCCCTAGGAGACCAGAGCAAATGTTTCCTGGGTTTCAGGCTGCTGTGCTCCATGAGGCAGCTCTAAGAAACAGGACTGTCAGTCTTGGAGACCTGACACTTCCCATCTCCACATGGAGTCCATCTCAATTCCACAAATGTGTCAACTGCGGTCAAAGTGTTTAAGGTCACATAGGCAGGCAACAGAAAAGCCAAAATCTGATCTCCTTGTCCTGTTGCCTGTGCCTGTGAAGCAGCCTGCTGCAGAAAAAGCTCTTCCCTTAAAAAACAAACAGCCCCCAGCTGACCCCTCAAGATGGGAAGGTTCTAGGAGGAAGGGTCGGCCCTCCACTGCAGATAAGGTTGGTTTCTGCAGTAACAATCAGGACTATATTACTTTGTGCTATGCTGATACTTTCAGCACTAATTGCAGACTTTCTTCTGCATTTTAATGCAAACATGTGCAATTATTGAATATTTACATAATGAATGTAGCACACACTGCAGTGTTCAAATCCTACAACACAATTCTTGCAACCTTAAGAGCTGGCAAACCTCTTTTTTATTTTTATTTTTTTTTACCAGAAAAAGATTAAAATTCAAGGTTTATGCATTTCAATAGTGCCTCTCAGATACATTTGGTCTCCACCATAACCAGCTCTTCTCTTCATCCTTCAATTCAAAACCCAAAGGAAAGGAAAGTCACGTACTGTGTGCTGTGAGGGAAATCGAGCAAGTGCGTCATGGTGACAAAAGGGTGGTTCAGAGTTTCAATGGGTGTTATTCTCTTATCTGCATCTATAGTCAACATCTTCTTTAACAGATCTATAAACTCCCGCCGGTCCGCCTTTTCCACCAACATATCACTTCCTTCCAAATCTGTTGTCATGTTCACCTAAAGGAAAAAGGACAAGGGTGAGCACTAAAGGGAAAGA